TGCGCCCTTATCCTTTTGAATTTTTTCGCACCTTACTGGGGTCTACCTTGTGCACAGAGTTTGAACTCAAAACCGATTAATCACTTCGGGTACCTCCCTCGTAAGTCTCTCTGAGATACTGAGCTTAGGATTTATAAGCTCTTTTCGATGGATAGTATATTGTTTTTTTCGAAGCTTCATATTTTGGTGAAACTTGCTTCAAAAACCCTGAGATTTTTTTATACAAGCTAGTCTAATTGACAACCCTATGTAGGCGAAGTGAACGAACGCTTTAGAATATTCTCTCTTTAGTTAAATTTGGACTGAACTTGACACTGTATGAAAGTTTCTATAATATTCAAGTAGTGGTATAACTAGAGTTTGAACAGTAAAGAGGCTTAGCTAGACAACCTATTCTTCAATTAGACCAAGACACTCGAAGTACTTTGACAGTGTAATCAACTTTTCTATTCTTAGCTTTTGATACTTTCTCTAAAGACTCTGTATCTTAATTTTCAATTAGACTTTAGACTCAATTCAATATCTATTAAATAAGAAACAGCGAAATGTCGACTTATTAATCTTTATTAAATAATAATTTTAGTTGAAACATTTCTATTCAAGTTTGCTTTTCATTGAATACTAGATGTTAATTGTACTTCTAGTTATATATCTCTTACCAAAACATTTTTTAATTTTATATCTCGATGAACAAGACCTAAGCCATGTAAATAACGTAAACCTTCAATAACATCTAATGCAATACGAATTCTAAAAATAAAAATTTTATTTTATATATAGTAATTTTATTTTAATAAAAAAAATACCTAATGTCAAATGAAAGTTTATGTTTTAATGCTATATATAAATCTCGTGTAAGTCGTTCCATTACAAGTAATACTGGTGTATAATCATGAAATGAATAATCAATAACTGATCCAATTAATTTAACAATTCTTGGATGATCTGGAATTCGTCTTTAAAAACAAATGAAAATTATCAAATAAAAAACGAACAAATAGAAAGAATTTTTTTTTTCATGATTTTATTTACCTTAAATAATGAAATTCTAAAGCAAGATCATTCCAATGACGATCATCAGGTGGAATAACAGATTTTAATACACATGAGCGTTGATTCGCCCAACTTTCACATTCATAAACAACTCCATATTGTCCACGACCAATCTCATGTCCTTGTTTTGGTAAACCATATTCAATAAGATCTTTTAATGATGTACTTTCAAGTAAATGTCGTGCTATTTTCGGTGTATATTCTTTTCGTACACGTTGTTGTTTATCTTCAGTTGATTTTAAACGATCCGAATGTCGATGTTCTAATTGTTTAAGTAAAGTTTCAAAATTATCATGTGACATACGTATACGATCATTTAATTGAGTACAAACAATTTTTGCTAATCTTAAAATTAATTTCATATACAAAATACAAATGAAAAATTTCATTGTTTTCTTTTTATAATCTTACTTTGCATCACTTACATTCTGTAACATATTTAATGCAACAGAACGTTTAAAATCAGGATCAATACGTGGACAATTATTCCAACTGAATGTTCGAAAGACCTAAAAGTAATATTTAAATTTATATAAAAGTAAAAAAAACAAAACAATTGAATTTATTATAAATAACCTCTTTCATTTTAGCGATTAATATTTTAAATAAATTTGAATTTGTTGGTAATGATATATTCACTTGATATGCTGATTGAAGAATCTAATAAATAAAAAAGTAATATGATTTATTTTTCTCAATGCAGAAAAACTTTATTCGTTTAGATCTACTATGTTATTTGATCATAAACAATAAACTAGATAATAAAATATAAAGAATTTTAATGGATCACTTATAATGAAAATATTTCAATTTTATTCATAAAAGATTACCTCTTGTAAAGCATTGCTTGCTGATGTACTTGCTTCATCATCTTCTTGATTACGTTCCAAATGACTAAGACAACGTGTTAATGTTCCAACATAATCTTGACGTAAAATACTAACTGAACTTGATAATTTTTCACCAATTGCTTTATTTAATCGTGCAAGTACAAAATCTTGTACAAAACTTGTACATTTTTTTAAGTCTCTTGCAGTTTTTACTGTTAATTGGTCAGTTAATTCAATTCCTAAATAAAATTTAAACAACATATATATGAGTAAATTACAACTATTTGTTTGGCTAATAAATTTTATTTTCGTTGATCGATTTAAACAATTTTTTTTCTTCTATATTACTGATTTTTGAGTATCGCATCACCAGAGCAAATTTCATCGCTCTAGTTCATACTATTACCAACTTATGAGGCTCACGCTATGACAAAAATCGTATTTTATCGAGAGATGCAGTAAGACAACAAAAAGTTTCTGAGGACTGAAGGAAAGAAAAAAAGATAACAAATAGTCAATTTTGTAGAGCTTGAAGTGTTCTGTTGAATCATATATCTTTCTCATTTCTCTTTCAGAGTCTATTCTTCTGAAATACTATATGATAGACACTTTTTCTGTTTCATGTGCAACGATATTATTTTTCAATTTTCTTCTTCTTCTTCTGAATGGTTTTCTTGTTCGATAAAAAGAGCGGTTTTTTTCTAGAAATTTTTTGTAAATAACTTCAGAACAATGCATCAGTTTTCGTTAAAATACTTGAATGAAAGCTTATTGTTTGCCCTTTGGAATCCATAGAACACTTTTATTTTTCTAAATGGTATATTGAAACTGACCTGTCTTATGTCACTATTAGCAGGATCATTCATGATGAACTGAAATCGAAAAACTTGTGCGCAAGATGAATACTACTACATCAGTTGACCGAAAAATGTAGAAAATAGCGGGTTAACATATGTTAACAAAATCTTGTTAAATTTGAAATCGATCAATGGCGTTTATGTAACATTATTACAGGGGAAGAAATATGGATTTATCACCGTAGCATTGATTTGAAACGATACAATATGATATGATATTCCTAGTATCTAAGCTTAACAACTGTAGTTAGGTGATACCAATATAAGGAAAAGAATATGTTTACTATCCTCTGATCAGGAGGTCATGCACACGATGGAATTTCGCAATAAAATATTTGTTGTTGACTACAAAGACAATTGTCTGAAACCTTTGTTTAACAATATTAAAAAAAGAAAGATCAAAGCTTCACCACGACAATGGATAACCTTACAAAAACGAAAGATATTAAAATACTCCCCCATGACGAAAGAGTTATTGTGATGCCTCACCAATCTTAATCTCTTGACTTAACATAATCCGATTTTTTGTCCTTTTAGTTATTTGAAAGAGCAATTAGACAGTAGTCTTGATTCTGAATACTTGCAACAAGCTGTAATCAAAAAGCTTGCTGATATATCATATGATGAGTTTCAAAAGACATTTCACAAATAGGTTGATCAAATGAAACTCGATATAACAAATAAGGGCGAGTAGTTTGAACATTTAATGCAATAAGATTGTTCAACGATTGAATTCATTTCATTGTGGAAAGTCCTCTTACTTTTATTTCCAACAGAGACTCTGAATTAAAACGTATTTTTAATGTGATGTTTCAAGAAAATGTATGTTAAGATGGATTGCGTTCCATATCATTGAACTCGTTTCATTCCAGAAAGTAACTCTACGTACTTTCATTGCAAACGTCAGTTCTGAATCAATAAGTAGTTTTATTACATGAAATCTCAACGAGATGTAATCAATTTTTCCATTAGATAATGCTTCTTATGACATGTTTAGACAATCGTATCTCAATGAATATACAGGAAAGTGTTGTGAAACTTTTTTTCTATGCTCAGACATTGTCTAGATCTACTTTAAATTTTTTTACACCTATCGTACTGAAAAGTTGCAGTATAAATCTATGTAGATTTATTTATGTTCAAATTTAATATCAAATACCTGAAATTTCTAATGAACAAGCTTGATCAGTTAATGTTTCTTGTATTTCATTAACAGCTTCGAAAATTAATTTTTGAATTTCATTTTGTTTAGAATTTGTTAAACTAATTAATGATTCATATAAATCTTTTTCTTTTTCACGTGTATAACTTAATCGTTTAGGTGTTATAAGCATATCTCTATTTAAAAAAAAAACAAAAACAAAATAAGAAAATTTATCAATATATTAAAATTTTTTTTTTACCTTGCCATTTCAAAAGCACTATCATTAAAAACATCTAAACAAAGTTCTTGTGAACTTTGTAAAATATTAACTAAATAAAAATATGATAAGAATTTATTTGAAAAAACTAAAATTTTATACCAGCATGAATAGTTAATCGATCAACATGTTTATCAATATAATTTAAAAATAATGTAAAATTACTTAAACCATTATCAATCATATCACTTTGAAATAGAGATGAACTTGTTTCAGATGTATTATCACAAGATTCCGTCGATAATAATGAAACAAAGCCAAGTTCACATAATTGCCTAATAGATTAAATTGATTTTAAATAATAAAAAAAGACAAAATTTTATACCGAAATGCTTCTACACATGGTGTTTCATCTGTATTTGAAGATGAATTATTAGTTCTAAAAATAACCGTCAATTTAACAAAAAAAGAAACAAATAAGAATATCAATTTTATTTTTCTTACGAATCAATTCGAATAAATAAAATTGGTTCATTTGTTGCAATAGTACGAAATGATCTTAATTCTTCTAAATCATTTTCTAATAATTTTTCTTGATCAATTATATAAATAAATATTGGTACAATCTCTTCTGTTATTTGTGAATAAAATTGTTTAATATGTAAATTTTGATTACTTGGTGTTATTATAATTTGTACATGATTGCCAAGGAAAGGTAAAGGTTTTCGAATTTCTAATAATGGTGTTTCATATTGATCATTTTCTTCATCTATTCGATGTAAATAAAAATCATTTTCATCTTTTACAATTATATCATCACGTGGAACAGTTGACCATGATACAGATTTCTGTACACCATCGGTATCAACAAGTTCAAATGAACCGGATATATTTAAACTAGCACCAGTTGTTGCATGATGCTGGATATAGAATAAAATCAAAAGTGAAATTTAGCGATAAGGTGGAGAAAAAAAAATATTTCGCTTTGAATGGTAAAATTCTGTTTATGGTTTTTGGAAAAAGTTTCCTCAAGAAAACTGTACTATATATATTGCATAAAGTTTTTTTTTCTAAATCATTGACCATGCCAAATATAAGAAGGGTTAATAACAGACCATAAACTTATATCTAGGAAAAGTTTTATTATTTAATAAGTATATTGACTAACTGCTCTTGAAATATCTGTACGTTGTAACGAACTGATTAGGAATATGATACCGAGAGAGCGTGGTACATTCCAATTTCCAGAAAATTCAAATTCCTGTCGATCATTATGCCATAGTACGGGTGTGAGTGTTTATGGGTTAATGACTTATCCAGATTTTCTCTTTAGAAGAAACCGTCTAAAACTCTCGGAGGACGAATCCAATAGTCATGGAGGCACTGGTTTCTTGACTCACCATGGTAGATAAACCACGGGTTTTAGTGAAGACTAGAGTCTTATCTGCACCTTTCTATTTAATTTCATCCTTTTCTCTTTTAAATCATTGTGAGCTAGTTTAAGTTTTATTTTGAATATATTATAGAAGTTAAAGAGAAATTAGAACAACTACCTGTTAGCATTAGTCATCAATCATAATATTTAAGTAACTCAATGAAGCATTTGCAGATATTTAACAATAATAAAACAAATTTGCTGACGCAACCTAGTCCAAAATAGATACACTTCATTTCTATATTCTTTTTATATTCAAATCGATTTTCTGCGCTTATTTATTATAGAACTGAATTAAATTTCCATGAAATTTTTCTCATTGTCATTTCATTAGAATTTTCTCGATATAGGAACTTACCATATCATGAATAACCATAAAGAAGAACCCTCAATAAATACATATATGTCCCATTATACATCATACTATTTACTCTATATGTCGACATATTATCGTAAACTTTTCAATACAGGAGAAAATATTTTATAGAGTGCAAGAAAAATTCGTCATGAAAAAAACAATGTGAATACTTTTCGAATAGTTGAAGCTAAATACATGTTGCTTTTTCTCAATACTATACTATCTTCTTTAAATTTTTATTTCATACAATTTGGTTTGTAAGAAATATTCTAAGTGATTACCATCATCTTAGATATATAAACCGATCTATTTTGAAATATTTGAAAAAAAAAATACTAAAGAAAGTTTAATTACATGTCTTGCTAAGACTCATTGTCATTTTTTTATTTATTAATAAATCGTTTAAATGAAAAGCGGCTTTATTGGTAAAAAGTGAATTCTTTTAATTGTTAATATTCTCTAATATTGGTATTAAAATCTAACAAATTCAACTTGACCTTGTAAATCTTCTTTGTCAACATATTGGACAAATTTTATCTTTGATGGTCTCATCAGAAGATATTCAGTCATCATCTGATATGGTATTCCTCGTGAAATGAAACAGACTTTTAAAATCCAGAACACTCAATAGTGGCCCAATGTCACAAACATCATGAACTTTGCCGAGTTTCCTTCGTTTTGTAATGTTTCAAGGTCTTTCATCACTATTCTCATTTACTACTGTACGAGTTTCACTAACAAGTTGAAAACGATCTCGAATATAGTCTGTGCGTCTGATATTTGTATGGCGACTTTCACTTGTATTTTTCGTTTTACAATGATAAATACCGTTAACCTAATAGGATTGATCAAGAGTTCTGTGGAATAAACCAGAGTCTAGAAAATTTCTCGGAACTAGACAACAAAGGAAAAAAACAACGTCTCGAATTTCTTTGAGCCCTTATATCAAACATGTATCGTACACTTTAATATTTTTTTTATCTCTAACAAATATCTTAATACTCAAATAAATAATAGAAAAAAGAACTAAACTGCCTCTCAAACAAAGCCCAAGTAGTAAAGGCGGCTGACTGTACGAATCCCAAAAATGTCAGAACCCGACTCTATACGACATCTACAATATCTGAATCTTAGACTTCCGAAGAGAAAATCATAGTGAACTTAAGTTGCGTTCAGCTATCTTGACTCAGCTGACAAATTATGAAATAATGAATCTAAACCAACTATTACCATATCAGGAAACTAATTTCTCATTTCAAAATGATGACTCGATGTAGAGAATGAGTAACAACATTGAAGCATGACTAATATGTCGCATAGAATAATTTGTCATGACAACTAGGCGAGTCAAAAGTAATAAGTCGGCTACTACAATTTGTGTAGTCAGGCACTTTCTAGTCAACAGCACTTGGAACACGAAGAAGTTTGTTCCGCGGAACTCTAGATTGGTTCCTTAGATAGTTTTTCCTTGATTTTATCTAGTCAATTGGAAAGTACTATTGAGGAGAGTGCTATTTGTCGTATATCACCTAGCATGATAGTCAATCTAACTCATTCATGTGAACACTAACTAGTCGCATACGAATCACAAGACCTAAAGCATACTAATAAACGGATAATCTTCACCGATCGAGCATTACTAATTTCTATCTGATAGTTACAAAGTATAAAGAAAGAATTCAAACAAATTGTAAAGTCTGGAAATGAAATAGAAATTTTTTCTTTAAAAATGAATTTCTACCTTGATTCGAATCATGCGTACGATATCATTTTTTTGAATAATTGGTGATTCTGGTAATAAAGATTCATTTAAAAGTTCATTAACGAAACGTGCTTTTCCATTATATGTTTGCGAACAAACAATTAATGCTAATGGTCGCGATAATATATTGTTAATATATTCACGATCTAATTTTGATAATTTAATTTCAGAAAATTTTTCTAAACAAAAAAAAAATAATGATTGAATATTCATTTATTTAAAAACAAAAAAAAGAAAATTTTACACACCAGCTGTAAGAACACGTTTGTCACTTATTTCATTGTAAGATTTATCAGTCTCGTGAAGTAATCGTTTAATATATATACAATGTTTTTTATAACGTCGAATAATTTTTGTAAAGTCTTGTGCAAATTGTGATGTATTACTATTAGTTCTAGTTATTGCTCTTTTAGATGTCTCTGTCATTGTTTTTATATTTCTAAAAATAAAAATCTATCTGAAACAAAGAAAAAAACAAAATACAATCGAATTAGTCTCTACTCGTTGAAATATTTAGAGACATGAAAATAAAGAATACGAGCAGAAAAGAAAAGAAAAAACAACAACATATAAGGATAGTATATTGATAAATACAAATGATATTTATATTTCTTAAGATTCTGGTGTATGTTCTGGAGACATTTGCATATTATTATCATTGTTAGAATTTTCAGTTTTTGATATAGACGAAGGATCATTATTAAGACTTTCAAGTCGTTTTTGTACATCTTTGAGTAAATCAAACTAAATATAAACGAAACAAAAAAGTTTGTTTTTTTTCTTTTCTTAGACGAAAGACTCAAACGATAAATCTGTCTGAAACGGTAGAACATATGTTCATCACGTTTTTAATGCATCTTATTAACTTATATTCTGATTGATCGTTTGTTTTATCACTTATACAAAGAAATTAAAGTAAATATTAACAAACGTGCTTTGTCCACTTTATTAAGAACAAAAGAATTTTTTTCCTACTGCTATAATCTGAATAAATAAATGAACATAGATAGATCAAATTATTCTGAAAGAAAGCATTAAAATATAATTTTCTCCAACCTGAGAAAATCTGAAGTTTTTTTTAAATAATGATTAAATAAACTTACAATACGTCCAACTTTTTCTGTTTGATATGAAGGTAAATTTTCAAATGGTAAATGATCACATATGCCTTGTTGAAATTGATCACGACTTGGTAATTGTTGTGGTACATGTAATTTTGGTGTACTACTAAACATCCATAAAGGTGTACCATAAACTTGTCCAAGACTTTTTTGTTCATAATTCGTTGATAATTGACTGTGATCATTGGGTGTTGATGGTGAATTTGTTTCATTTATTGTTGATACTTTTGATTGTTTTGATGTATTAAGTTCTTCGATTGGTGTTGGTTTATATGTTTCAAGTGTTGATTTACGTTTAAGTGAAGGTTTTTTTAAAAGATACATTTCTTCAATAAGATTTTCTTTACTTTGTTGTTTATCAAATGATGGTAAATTTAAACATGTATAAGCTTCATCAAGAAAACCATCTGGTACTTGAACATTAAAACCAGGAAATGAAACAACTTTATCAAAATCATATTCATAACTATCTTCATTATTCAAATCAACTTGTGTTTGCATATTATCGTCTAATAATGAACCAGGAAAAACATTATCTTGTCCAGTTGGATCAATTGGTTCGGATTTTTTTGTTTCAATTATTTCACCTGAAAGAAATAAAAAATTTCATATGAAATAAATTTCTTTTTTTTCGATTTAATTATACCTTCTTCATTATCATGAAAAACTTGTAAACCAGATTTTTTAACACGTGCTTCACGTAACCATCCAGGTGGATAACCACATCGACGCATATTATATATATACATTGGTAATTGATTATCTCGAAGTCCCAATGCTTGTCGTAATTCATAACCAATACAACCTGGTTGAAAACGTCGAAAACGTTCTTCTATTATAATTTGATCATTTAAACTTGATTGATAAGAATCTTCATGATAACGACTTGTTGGTTCACTACCACCTCCATTAATTTGTGATAGATCATTATAACCACAGGCTTCAGCCATTTGTTCTTGATATTGATCACGACTACGGCGTATACGATCACCATCTAATTTCATAGGACATCCTTGAACATTATGATCTAATGCACCACAATTAAAACATGATGGTTTAGGTCGACGTGCTCGTTGCAATGATGCATGTTGTTCACTATCAGGTAAAGCTATACGATAGACTTGTTCATATTCAGGTATAAGCCAACCTTGTTGAAGTGCACCAACATTAAATGATGCTAATTCATCACCATTTCGATCAATCAAAAACGTATCATAATATTCAAGTGGAGTAGATTTTGATGTTAAATCATTTTGAGCTTCTGGTGGAAGATTTGCTTGTTTGGAACGTATATCATCAACCATTTGACGAAATGTTCGTTCCAAATGCATCTAAATAAAAATAAAACAAAAGATTATTGTATGATGAAGTTCATTCGGAAGCAAATATAATCTACGATAAGAATTTTTTTAATATTTACTTCCTATTCGTTGATATATAATTGTCGAACATGTTAAAGGTCAAACGAAGAATAATTTCGAATAAATATTTAAAAGCCAAAATTCAAGGTATAAACTTCATACACTGAAAAATCTGACTATTATCTTTTATTATTTCTCAAATAGAAAAAAAGAACAAACAGTTCTTTTTGTTGTTCTTTATCTTTGAAGATTGCTTATGCATAATGACGTCATCAACTGTGATTAGAAGTCAAACAAATATAATAGATTACTAACTTTTTTTTCATAATCATTTTTGTCTAATTTGAGTGCACAAGTAAATAATGGAACACTATCTATTGTTCGATTTGTGCTAAATATAGAAGGTATTTCACTATCGTCGTTCATGATATCTTCAAATAAATAAAAAGTTTTAAAAAAATACATCAATGATCAAATGTGTAGATATTTATTAATATTTCTAAAAACTATTAAAAAGCAACAAACAAAAGTCTATTAAATACATGACATGAAGCACAAAAAAAACAACAAACCAAATAAAAAGCTTGTCCCGTTAATATTTTATTTTCAATTTTTATTGTTTTCGTGGTTGATTTATAAAACGTTGATCATCATGTTTTGAATGAGTATGATGTTCAGTTTTTGGATGTGTACCATGTTTATCATGAATTTGTTTTACGGCTTCAGTTGGAAAAGCTTTTTGAACCTAAATCAAGAAATAATAAAAATATATATTATCTTCATCATTTTCATTTACATACAGGCACAAATGTTCCTGATACCATCTGACCAGCTACACGATTAGCCAATGCTCTAAAAGAAGTAAATTCATATTCTTTTTTTAAATATTCTTTATACTTGCCCTGATCCTTGTTCATCATAAGTATCTTCTTGATTTCTTCGATTGTCATTATCAGACGTTCCATCTGTACCACTGGCAGTTGTACTATTTCCTGAAGCATCTTCATTAGTAAAATTTTTATCTTTGTCATCGCCTTGTGATGTTTGTCGAGGACGTGATGCACCGACACGCATACCCCCAACTCTTACTAATTAGAAATGAATAATTAAAAATTTTATTTTATTTAAATAAATAAATTTCATTCTTACTTGCTGGAGGACGACCAGCTTTAAATTCAGTTGAACCAGATGTATCTGATGCTGATGCTTGATCCGACATTTTAAAATTTGATTAATAAAAATGGAAAAAAACTTGGGCGGAATAATCTAAAAAAAATTCTTTATTTAACAGTGAAGAATAAGAAGAACTTATGGTTTTTTTCTCTCTTTGTCTAATTTTTTCTTTTGTATTCAAAATAATTAATAATATGACAACCTTGTCTATTTCCTCCATCCACTCGACATTTCTATTTAGATGAGTCTCATTGGTGCTTATAATTAACCAATACTATCATTCTCATATGTTGAATTGAAAATTCAATCGATTTGTTATTTTAAAAGAAAAGCAGAAAGAAATTCTACTAGAACTAAAACGTTCGAATTAATTCTCATATGTCGTTGATGACACATCGATAAATTCATTTATATTTCTTTTTCATAGCAACAATGATAATAATCGTTATTAGTTAAGAAAAAGCTGCTGAAGTTGCACATATAAGATCTCACCTATGGAACGAAAGTCTTGACATCAAATTTTCATTCGTTGTCATTGACTTGAAAACAGCTTGCTAAAGCCAGTAGCATAGCCAGAGATTTTCTGAGGCGAGGGGAGAAGGAAGTGCATATTAGAGTACTGCAACCCGTGGGTCGGGTACCCGAATCCGACGCGGGTATCGGGTACAGTTGGTTACGGGTAGGGTAGGGTACGGGTAGAGTTGGACACGGGTAGGGTAGGGTACGGGTACGAAAAGTTGTACCCGTGCAGTAAACCCCTCCCCATATTAGAGGGCCACCCCCATTAGAAGGCCATGTCTGAACAAAAGTTCATCAGCCCTATTAGAAGGCCATGCACTAATTAATTAATTAATTAATTACAAAAATATTTAATTTTTCGTAAATATTAATTAATAATTAGCCGAAAATTACTGTTTTTTTTAGAAATCGCTCCATATTCTATCATTGAGAGCATATTTTTATATGAAAACAGCGGTTTTTCCAGGAAAAATACCAGAAATACCTCAATTAAAATTATTAATGAATTATAATTAATTATTATAGTTTTTTTAAATTTTTAATTAATAATTGGCCAAAAGCTGACCTCAATAGAAGGCCACCTAGAAAGCAACGATGTGCGGAGACGCAATATAAGGCCATGCTCTTTTATTCTGGAGAAGGGTTTACTCTATTCCAGATGTGTGGGTTGCGAGCCGGGAATAGGAGAAAATTCTAGGAAATTGGAACCTACGGGTTGGGTAGGGTAGGGTACGGGGTAAAAAATAAGGTGTCGGGTAGGGTACGAGTACGAAAAGTTGTACCCGTGCAGTACTCTGGTGCATATCAACAGAAAAATAATTTGTTGCTTCCCGAAAACTTTTTTTTATCTGTACTCTCATCTAGGTGCTTGTTGACCAAGGGGAGTGCACAAACACCTCTTGCAATCCCCTCGCTACGACCATGGTTAAAACCAAAAGCAGTTAGTTAGACATAAACGTTTTCGCGCTTTTCGAACATGTATTCATAATTTCATTCGGGGTTAAGATTAGACAGTTATCATCAGATTGTTTCAAATAGCGATTGTGCAGAATTCATCTCATATTTCGATTGAAACTTATCAAATACAAGCTGTGAAACAATTTTTAAAAGCAGTTATTAAAATAGGAATTTTCTTAATGAATGCCTATTTCAAAAAAAGGTGGATAGATATTTTCGTTAATAATTCTTGATAAAAACAAGATGAACCGTTGTAATCTTCAGCTTTGGAAAGAGAAGATGAAGTCGCATTGAATCACATATTAAAGTTTTTCTAGTTAAATTTATAAAAGGAAGCGTCGGCAAAACAGTTTCTGTCGACATAAGAAATAAAGCAAAAATATGATGTTTTGTTTCACAATAATTGTTTGAGAAACTAGCCCAGAATTTTGAACTAGAATTCCAATTACATTTGAATAGCTAAATCTAAAAGTCTGAGACTTGTGTCTTGTTTCTATCAAATGTTGCTTAAAAAAATCTTATCCACCTTTTTATAAAATAGGCATTAACTTGTAGCGGAAATGCATATATGAGATTCCTCTTGTTGTATGATCTCGTTTTGTAGAGAACTCAGTGATCTATAATAATGTTAATTTGAAGCTGTGTCAATACACAAACTAAGGACTGCACCAAAAAAAAATTGCACTTTTGCTTTGAACAGACACAATTTGGAGCTTTTTCATCAAATTTGCTGATAGCTATTCAATTTTAGTCTAGAATAAAAATCTCAACGTATATTCGGAAAGAGCGAAAAAATAAGCGAATAGTTTGTGCCAAAACTTTCATTCTATACACTATGTATTGAAGATCAATACAATGCTTGAAATATCTAGTAACTTGTAGGTATGCAAAGTGTATTTTAATTATTTATTTTATTTTTGTATGATTTCACTGTACGTATACAGAATATCGTTTTATACAAATCATACGTAATGTCAATAAAACCAATCGAAATATCACTTGTTGTACATAATGAGACTATTTCAATGGTCTTAATACAGTTCGAGGTAAATTTTAATGTCACTTTTTTTCTGATGCGAAGTAATTTTTAAAAGAAATAATTCGAAAATTTCATATTATAATTCTGAGGTAGAGTAGAAAATTTCCTTTAAATTCTATGAAAATCATATAATGATGTCCTCTCGTTTATGTCAATAATAATTCTAATAATCGTTAGCATATTCTTACTTCTGAGAACATTCATTCTCATCGATATTATGGACATGTTCTTGAACATATTATGATCAATAATAAGACGAATTGTTATATTCAAAAACTATAAAAATAAAACATTTCATATGGTTTTTGATATGTGTTATTGACGTCATTTTTTGAATATAACTCATGAGTATATATTCTATAGAAACATGAAGGTAAGTGGAATGTGTTAAAAATTCATATTAAGGTAAATAAATGTATAGAAATAAAAGACAAAATGGATCGAACATTAAGAAACGATCGAAAGTACATCGTATGGTCGAATTAGTAATATAAAAGTCATTTCTTTTATACGAAATTAATTAAATACGTAGGAATCAATAGCGAAGCCAGGGGACTCAGTATCTCAACTTCCTACCTCAAAACTAAGGTTTCACCACTAATAGGAATATTATACATATTGAATGAAAAAAAAGTACGGTTTTTAGATGATTTCTCGTTGTATTCGATTTATAAAGTTTTTTTTTACAAAGGAACTTTGCTTCATGGTTAAATTCAAATAGTCTGTTTCACATGATATCATAACTATTAGAATGTCGATCATGTTATTATCTTGTCTTACACATTAATCAAAATGTAAAATTGAAAGTAAAATTTATAAGAAGAAAACTAAACGAAAAATAACTAAGAACGGCAGAAACAATACGATATTCTAGAATAAACAGTATCATGTGCTTTCGATCCTTGTAAACTACTTGATCATATTTTCCAAGAAAAGAAGTCTACATAAGAAGAAAAATTGTAGAGTAAAAATAATTTCGTTTGTGTTTTGTTTTAGAATTGAGCTGTGCACAATATATCGTTTGTCTGTCTTGACGAAAATAAAACCATGAATATACAGTTAGAATAAATGTAAATAAAATCATGATCAAGTGAGAGTTCGAAGATTGAAGGTATACAACCTTTTATCCGAGGGGTAGTGTAAAGTTTCAAAAAAAATCTGATCTCTTTTTTTCTGACAGCAACGTAAAACTAATAATCATTGATAGGAAGGATTAAAGCGCCTTCGCTTTCATGGCCGCTGGTCGTTAGTTACAATGTCATTGTTCATTCCAATCAAGGATCCTATTACGTCAAAATGTCAATTTCTTTAGGCATGAAATTGCACAAGAGCTCGAACAATTGAAGCGTAAGTTTGGCATACAGCGTTGTTTGAATGTCATTCACTTCTGTTTCTTGCTTATGTATATATTCATAAATGTGAACCATATGACGCATTCTTATATTTAAATGTTCGTTTCAACGAATAAAAACGCTAACAAGATTTACTCTGAGATTATCACAAAGAAAATGACGGTCAGTATTGATTTATTAAATATAAAATAGCTTCGTCAATTGATATTTGATTCAGTACTTTTTTTATCATGCCAGTATTCAGTTATGACGAAACTAATCGTTTTTTTTTCGTCTCTTTTTTCTATTCGTTCTACTGAATGTATTTTGAGAAAAAAATGTCTATAAGGTATAAAACAAAGGTTATTCAATTTCATTTGCATAGACTGATTTATCATACCCTATGATTATTGCTTTATGAGTAATAGATTAACAATAAAAAGAATCTATTTATTGGTGGGAGAAATCGTGCTCGTTTGCTAGTAAAAAAATAGCTCATAAAATGAGATGATGGATTATGACGTTATATGATAGAATTTAATGCAATAATACGATATTTTATACCCGTTTCCGGCTGATTTAAAGACGTCGATTCCGACGGTCAAAATGATTATCCTGAGAACGATGAAGGTATTTTTCTTTCTAAATTCTTATGAGAAAAAACACGTAAAGATAACAATTCAAACATGACCTATAACATAAAATGACTCGTTGTAACTTAACTCTATATGACACACCTCCAAAACAGTTTGCGTTTACCTCGAAATAAAACACATGTGATAGTAGGTGATACAAATGTCAAAAACTTTTTCTGTCGAATTCAGCTGTATAGGATAAATCTGCTCTATTCTGTTACATAAGCTACGATAAAGGTAAGAAAATTTTCTTTTTACAGCGCATAGAGTGCGAGAAAAAGCTTCTTCGGCCCATCTTTACTGTTTCCAGATAGTTCAGAAAACGGTATTTTGTCGTTTAAATTAGTATACATTGTCTAAAACTACTGTTAATCATACCTAAACACCGTTTCTAAACAGAATATAGTAAGAAATTGACTTGCATCCACAACATCAAAACACTAATATCTATATATAATTACCACATACAGAATAATGTTATTTCGATATCGTTGGTGACAATCGATTTCTTGCTAGTTTCTACTTTCAAGCGGTAGTGAAGTGTGATAAACGATAATTTTTGGATAATACAGATCAGTTTAAACGCAAAATGTCGTTTCCTAAACTACTTGGATTAACGTAATATGGATAACATGTTTTCATTTTGTAACATATAATTAATTTATTATTGCCTCCTGTCCTTTTTTTCGTCGCAAAATCTGTAGAAAAAAAAGGTGCGTTACTGTATATCTATACTTTTATCTTTCATCTTAATGATCTTCTTATTTTCCATTGTAACCTTAAAGTTATCAAAGTAGGTATCATCTCGTTCGGACTTTCTCAAGTATGAGTAATGATTTCGTACGATGAAATTTGTCTTTTTTCGATTATTAATTAGTGAAATGTAAAAACTTCTTTTTCTTCTTGAATTTTAAAACTATCTTCGATGCAAACATATTGAAAGATATGTATAATATGTACTGCTCGATAAGAGCATATTCCTTCATTTTTTTTTCTAGTGTTTATAGGAAAATTTTCTTTCTGTCAGTTAATCAAATCAAGGAGAATGTCTAAAGTTTTTTATTGTTGAGTTTTACAAATAGTGACATGTCATTTACGATCAAGGACTTTATCATCAATCGAAAAAAAACCCTATACTATAGAACAAACATCTCGATGACAATTGACATTTTTCTTCTCTATTACGCATATGTTATAGTTTTCTTAACATTTCCATGGAAAACAAAAATATAGTTATTAACTTGTGGTTTTGATCTGTTATTAATAAGTTGTCATTTTGTGACCTTATCATAAAGCAGATATTGAAAAAAATAATTTATCAAAAGTACGCGTCAGAACAAGATATTATTCAAAAATTGTTAGCTTCTTCGTCTTTGAAAACAATCCAAAAATCATAATGTAAATGCGAAGCATATAAATACATGTGAATAATATCAATTCTATCAAACTGTTATAAATTATGTTGATTGAATAGCGATAAAGTTTCTATCTATTACCATATTGAGAGTTCAACAATATCTTTTCTTTTTCTATGTTTAATCACTAAAATTCTCTTTCATACGACAAATCGTCATTAGATTTATATACAAAATCCTTGTGATCTCATTTACATCTTACAGAAAAAGAAAAATGGATGAATCAATACAACAATCATACATTAAAAAAAAAAGAGAGAATATAATTCCTCAGATCTAATGAATAAATGGACACTTGTGAGAATAAATATGACAAGAATAGAAAGAAATAACAACATATATACGATTTGTACAACAATTTAACATCATTCTATATTCTTTTTAAAAATTTTCTCCTTGATAAAGTCCATCTGACATAGTAAATTGTTGTTGTGACCAGAAATTGTTTTGTTGTACATTCCAATCATTTGCCATTGAATAATTACAATCAGTAAAATTTTGTATCTGTGCATTCATATTTGTTGAAATTGTATTTAAAAAGACATTTGATATTCGATTACTAGATGCTAATAATGAAGATGATGATGATGGACGATTATCTATTATCTGTGTTGTTAATGTATTTGATGGAACATGTTTGTTATTTATATTTAATGTTTTAACATTTTGTGTTAAACTTAATAAATCATCATCAGATACTGATGATGAAACTGTTTCTTCTCCATCACTATATGTTTGTTGTATTTTACCATCTATATCATGTTTATATAATGGACACCATGTACCTTCATCACCAAAGCAAACGGCTACCTCACCTGGATCTATACAAAACATAAAGACTAAATTTTCTATTGTGCTTTTGCTCGAAATTAAAATTTCAAATAGAGATGCACACAGTTAACTTTCTTTTCATATCCTGGCAGAAGACAAAAAGAAGTTCTCTTAACCTTATTCTGCAGAATAGTGTTGTAGTCCTACATATGTTCAATTAAAAAAAAAAGAACAATGTGTGAAAGACGTTCGATAATTTTTTTTGAAGTTAATAGTTCGTTTTATATCCTACAAGCTGTGACCTTTTGTTCTACAAGACATAAAGTAGAGAATAAATATATTGAGTACAGTTGTGCATACTTTAGTTTCTTAGATTCTCTTAAGTTTATAAGGAGAAAAAAAGGATGTGTAAAAATATTCTTTTTTCTTAATATCTGTTACATGTCAGAGAAAAACTAGGTGATTAGATTTCGTTATTTTAATCGACAAAAATAAACACAAAGGTAAGTAAGTGTAAGTTACTCGAGTATTTGAATAATATATATTAATACAGGACAAGGTTAATATTGAATATCGAGCCACTCGTTGTGATCTCTGAATTGGTTTCCTATTACTGTAACTGTCAATTAAAAGAATTTAATATCGAACACACAAAAACAACAAAGTATTGTTGACTTTTTTCAAAATGAAAAATTCTATAAGAGAAACCAACGAATATTGTTTATGAATTGATAAATTTTAGAAACATGAGAAGTAGAACAAAAAAGACGTGACTAAGAATGTCATGCGATGGTGTGAAATAATAAGCTTAATTAGAGAATATGCATGATAAAAAGAGAATTTATTAATTAGTCGCTAATAATCATAGATATTATATTAGCACTATATTATTCGGAAGCTATCTCTCTTATGAAAACTTGAGATTCATATAAAAATTTCTATCAAATCAAGAAAAAAGAAAAGAAAAATTTTTACCAATCCACATAGTGAATATGACTGGTAGATATTGATGAAGTGGTATACAAGAACGTTCAGCAATTGATCTAAGAACTGGATCTTTCCAATGTTTTGTTTGTAAACATCTATATGCACTTCCACGATGTGGTGTTGCTAGAAAAAAAAAACATCAAATTATATAATAACTAAACTATCTTTTCATTAATAGAATTTAGTTTACCAGGAAACCAATGTCCAATAAAACGTTTTGATAATATATCATAAAACGTTCGTTTAAAAACATTGATCTGTTCCTGTGATAATTTAACATGTGCTTTCATTAAACGTAATAGATAACTACATGCGACAGTAAGTTCTTTTTTCGGATTTGTCATTGTTAATTAAGATAAGTAATAAATCAATCTATAATAATCATATCGAATAAATTTATCAAGAAAAAGTCTTCTAGTCGAAACATGAAGTATTATATTGACCAATAATGACTATAACATCTCTTCCTCTCTCTCGTATGTCGCGGTTTTTTTTTGCTCAAATGCATAAATGAAAAAAAAAATCGATAAAAGAAAAAGAACAGGTGAACAGATGTCGATTTAAGTAAATACAAGTAAAAGGACAAAAAGAAGCGAACGACAGAAAATAAAAAATCGATTTTATTCATATTTGACCTACTTTAGTCAATAATCATTAAAAAAAAGACCGCAGTGAAATGAAGAAATCTTATTACAATTACAGGTTTAATGTTATATAGATTGTTTCTTTACCTTTTTTTTCATTCTTGAATAAAAATATTAATAAAAAGAAACTCTATTAAATATTTTATTAGTAAATGCATATTTACATATTATAGAAAAAAAGAAAGTTTAATTTGTAACTATTTCTTTAAAGCTTTCATAAGAACGATCTAGGATTTAGTATAAGGTATATTAATAAGAATGAAGATTATCTAGTTGTCATTTAGCAAGGAATAAATCAGATGAAGAGAGAACGGCAAGCAGAGACTAAATCTAAGTGATTCATTTTTATTTTTAATCATCTGATCATTTGATTAATATATTATATTGAAGATTTCGAAAATAAAATTAATTTTCATTAAGAAATATAAAATAAATTATATTTTTCAATAGAATTTTTCAATTAAAAAAGTATGTCAATTAATAGAGGTCGTCAATATCAGTCAAATTATTGACATGAAATAGAAAAAATGAAGGAATAAATACGTCGGTAATGGCAAGTATTACACAGAATATATATATATACATTGAAATAAGTATTGTTGCGATATCTTTGCATGTAGCTAATGAAATTCTATTGTCTCAACTTGTGTCATGATCATTTATAATTTCATGGTTTTTTTTTCTTATAGATTTTGACAACGACAAGGGTGTCTTCTATAACAATTATTCGTTGTCATATATTATCTTTCCACAAGCTCATGTCGTTTGGTAAAATATTATTTGATCATCCGACAAGCAACGGCTAGCTCGGTGTCTAATTTATTTTTCCTTATTTTGTTCTTCCTATTATTGATTATCTTCTATTTTAAATTTCATTAAATTATTCTCTTTATCATGAACAAACCATCGAAAGAAATTGATTTATCATCTGTTATAACTCAAGTATCAAAAGATGATGATCCCAATCGGTCAATACCATTAGCGGGTACAGTTATTACAAGTGGAACATCTCCAATAACAAAAAGTATTTCATAAATACGGAAAAAAAAGTTAAATTAATACAAAATAATTTTTTTGTTTGTTTTTAGCTCGTCCAAGTCGAAAATATCGTCTTGTATCGATTTTACTCTGCTGTTTGAGTGTATCAAATCGTAGTCGATCTAGAAGTGCAATCTATTCACAAAAAAAAGAAGCCTCTGCTAATCAAGAAGTAAATAAAAAAAAACAAATATATTTTTGAATGCATTATTCATCTTCTTATAGTTAATCGCATTGAATTCTGATATAAATATACATTTTGAGGTATACAAATTGAGTTTTCGTTCTTCTGTCTTACTAATCTAAAAACAAAATTGCATAATTTTACTAACAAGATATTTATTTGATTAAGTAAATGAATTACGTTTTGTTTTTGTTTTTTTCTAGTCAAATGAAAAATTTTTACTACCAACATTACGTGTTAATGAAAGAGTGAAAATATGTTTAGTTATTGATCTTGATGAAACATTGGTGCATTCATCATTTAAACCAGTACCAAATGCTGATTTTATTGTTCCCGTTGAAATTGATGGACAAGTTCATCAAGTAGATTATGTTTCTTCTTTCTTTTTAATATAATAATTAATCAAAGCAGAAAAAAAAGAATATAAAAGTTTGAAATTGAGTGTATAAAAAAAAAAAGAGGCTTATACTTCTGTCATCTCTAGAGACTATTGTTTCCTTCATTTTTGTTAAATAAATAGAATCTATGTTTTGTCAATAAAATATAGGATGTTGAAGATAATTAATTATTCATGCCATTTCTTAAGTTGGGATTTGTCATTTGCGTGAGTTATATTTATTCATCGAGGTCTCAAAAAAAGATATTTCTATTGACTTCTCGTGTTAACAGATCAAGTCTAGGAAAAAGAAAGAAATAATATTAGATTATAATATACAAGAAGGAAGTGAAGAAAATAAAAAAAACTTATTCTTTGTTAATAGAGATGAAAATTAAATCTTTATTTATGTTAATTATCTCGTCAGTCTCGTAAGTTTCTTAGGACAAAAAGAAACAACAAAAATGACAGTTTAGAAATTGATGTGGATATAAAATTTTATATTTAGGTCTATGTGACAAAAAGACCACATGTTGATGAATTTTTACGTCGTGTTGGTGAACTCTTTGAATGTGTTCTATTTACTGCTAGTCTAGCAAAAGTAATTGAATAGAATTTTTTCTATTATTATATATCTATACTAATATTTTATTTTTTTTTTAGTATGCTGATCCTGTAGCTGATTTGCTTGATCCAAATCATATATTTCATTCGAGACTATTTCGTGAATCTTGTACTTATTATAATGGTAAATAGAAAAATACAAAAACATTATTTTTAGAAGTGTCCCAAGGCCAGCAGGATTGGATAGAGGAATCAAACGTGTTTCTTTGGAAACTCGTTAGCAAATCAAGCTTGGGGATTTCGTTAGAGAAAAACGATAATTTTTCAAGATTGTCGGGGGAGGGGGGTAGCACACAACGGTATTTTTCTATAGATCAGGTAGACTTAGAAAAGCCTTATGAATGTTCAATATAGCTTTATTATCTCTTACATGTTAATATAATCTGAAACAGTCAAATGTAATAAAAAGTTTTTTAATAAGAAGACTAATAAATTATACATCATGCGATGTAGATTCTAAATATGAAGTTAGTTTTCAATGAGAGTGTTTCTATGTTGAATAAATGATTTAGACCTTGACATTCTATAGTTCAGTTGTGGAACATTTGCGTTAACGCTATGTCTGCATTATGACTGGAGTGACATTCTGTATAAGTTTCGTCGAATTTGGAGTTGTGAAAAATTGTATAAATTCATTATACTAAGCACATGTTTCTGTAAAAGTATTCGATACTAAAGAAAAATGACTTGTCTTAAATCTCAAATAGATAAAAATAAAAGTTTTTTTTTACGAATCGATCGAGTGATTAATTCATAGGGAAAAGGGTACTAAGTCTTACTAGCAGCGTTTTTCGACAAGATTTTCTGACTAATGCTAACAAGTGGAACAAAGACTTTTATGTTATTAAATGATGCGTAGGTTCGAGTAAAAGTTGTCTTATTTAAATCATCAGAAAGTACACTTTCAATTTTAATATTTCCCTGGATACTCAAATAGAATCATCTCTGCTCAGAACTACGAAATTAGAATGTCACTCAAGAGAGATGACCCAAAAAACTTAAATCATTGGTATCGAGCTTGGAACCAAAAATCCTTGATCCTGCACATCTCTCTACTCGGCATACCTCTGATTATTTCCTAAATGAAAATAATGAAATTCTTTATTTGTATTTGTTATTTCTAGGAAATTATATAAAAGACCTTAGTCGATTAGGTCGCGATATTCGTAAAGTGATCATTATTGATAATTCACCGGTATCATATATATTTCATCAAGACAATGCAGTATGTGAAAAGAAAAATAGAACATATTTTTTTTGTATTTATTTTTTATTAATATATTCTCTTTTTTTTGTTTCTTATCAAAAGGTTCCTGTAACAAGTTGGTTTGATGATATGCATGATACTGAATTATTAACACTTATACCAATATTTGAACGTCTTACATCAGTTGATGATGTTATACCAGCTTTACAGGATATTCACCGAAGACGAGCAATGGTTTAAAAATTTGCGAAAAATTTCTTGTTTCTTTTTCTTTTTTTTTATTCGACAGAGCTTTTCTTTGTTTCTTCCTTTTCTTTTCGTTTTTTTTTGTTCATCAGTAATTTTGCTTTGCACTTTCTTTATCTATATTTGTTTTCACATTTTCATTATACAGTGCCGTTTGTCTTTCTTTACTTTTCGTTTTTGTCTTTATTTTAAAATAACTACCATAGTAAGCAGGTTTATTTTCAATCATACCTTTGTTTTATTTCCTAACATCTTTATTTTTTGCATACTGAAAGAAAACCAAAAAATAACATGAAATAATCTATGCAACTTAACACCTATAGTCTATCTATTGAAATCCTTACAGCATTCCTTTGTTTTTTTGATCGTCTGTTTTTATTTTGTTTAATTTATAATGTCAGTGAAAAATCAATCAGAAAATGAAAAAAACAAAAAGAAAAGAAAAAGACAATGGCCTGTTATATACATGTGTAAATAATTTATTGTTTGTTGTATATATACAAAACAAAAAAAACAACTTTTGTGTGAGTGTATATCTTTCTTTTTCTCCTTATTTGTTAAAACTTCAAGAGGAGAATTTCATTCTCTTCGAACAGTCGTAGATAAGAAACACTAATATTCTCCTCATATTGAATGAACAGTGTTGTTTACAACAGATCCTTTCTTTCTTTATTTCTTGCTCTTGTTCTATATTTCATTGCTGGTGCTATTTCATTAAATACATTGTTTCTATTTTTTTGCTGTTAGTTGCTTCACATTTTTATTCCTGTTGTTGTTGTTGTTGTTATTTCTCTCATTCTCTTTTTTTTCGTTCATTGCGCATGTGTGTTTCCCTTTTTTTGTTTCTTCGTTTTTTTCATAAATCTTGTAGCATTCGCGTCAATCCATTTGCTTCCTCATATGTCATTGTTGTTCCCGATCTGGAAAAGAAACAGAAATCAGAAGAAAAATATGAATTATATTAAATAGTCTATGAAACACAAAACAAAGTCGAGATATAATAATATGGCTTGCTTTTTTAGATGGCATCTAAACCAGTAGATACGAAGACGACACTTCGTCAAATGATGAAACAAGAAAAACAAAAGAAAATTGATTCACCATTAGCGAAGTAAATCTGACTAAAAAAAACCAAACAATGAAAACCGTCTCAACTCATTTTCAGATATACAAATACAGGTCAACTGTATTGTGCATTATGTAGTCAACAATTAACCAGTGAAACATTTTGGAAAGCTCATGTTAATGGACGAGATCATAAACAAGTTTGTTTTATTTCTCAAAAAAACAACTTTTCTTCTATTATCATTTATTTTTTTCAATATTTAGAAAGTACTTGAACTTAAATCAAATATCAAACAATCCAATACCGAATCAGTTTTTACTAAACCATACCCTCCGCCTCCACTTACTACTCAACAACGAGGTATTAAACGTCCTCATGATGTAGGTAGGTCTATCGAATCAAATCAATTTATCAAACATAAACCAACAGTCTATATTGTATTTTTTTTCTTTAGCTACATCAAGTGATAATGTAATTGTTGGCAAACCATCAAGTACTGTTTCTTCATCAACAATAGCTCAACAATCAGCATTACCTGCTGGTATTATCAAAACAAAAAAAAGAAATATTTTTTAAACATCTTCTTTTTTAGATTTCTTCGATTCCGATTCATCCAAATCACAAATAAATACTAATAAACCAATTACAAAATCATCATCATCATCATCATCATCATCGTCAGCAGCGACAACAACAACAACAACGACAAATAATGTTACATCATTAGAAGAATCTTCTGCTTTACCGGAAGGATTTTTCGATGATCCACATTTAGATGCACGTATGAGAAAAGTCGAATATGTTGATAAAAAGGAGGTTGAATGGGATGCTTTTATGCGTGAAATGAAACAAGAAACAAATGTAAAATTTCTTTTGTTTTTAAATAATGAATTAATTAATTATTTTCTACATTTATATTAAGATATCAGAAAAATTAGAGGCTAATGATGATATTGAACGTGATGTTGAACGAGAAATAATTGAAACAGAGGAATTAATGTATGTTGAAATGGTTTTTTTCTAATATAGTCTTAAATTTTTCTTTTTAGTACACGATGGCAAAAAATCGAAGAAATGCATGATTTAAAAGATAATCGATTTAAAGTAATCAAAGAAGGTATCAGAAATTCAAAAAAGCAAACAATCAACGAAAATAATGATGGTGATGATGATGATGATGATTTAGAAAAAGAATTACAAAGCATGTACAATTGGCGACAGAAACGTTCTTGAATTTTTTGTTATTTTTCTTTCTGATGTATATACAAAAGACTTGATTTTTGTTATAAGGATATTATGTTTATTATTACTTTGGTTAGAAAAATTAAATAAAACCTTTGTATTACACTCAGTATAATTCAATTAATAATTAATCAAGTAAAAATATTAAAAGTTTTATGATGTTTCAACTGATTAAATTATTTTAAGATATATTTAGATATGAATCAAGGTTAGAATTTGTCGAATAATTATTGATAGAGGATAGGAAATAAAAGATTAATTTCCGTATGAAACATCCATTGATGTTATAGATAGAACTAGTTATAGTGGAAAACATGTTTAACAGGAACCCATAGGCTGTCAATATAAATAATTTATTTTTCTATCTCAATCTCCATGATTACGTTTAGTCTAATAAGAAAATTAATTTTTTTAAAATTTTTATTTCAAAACCAACTATCAATTATTTGAAAACTAAATCAATATCATTCATCGAATCTGAATACATTAAACACAATTCAAAGGGAAAAAATCATCATCTGGAAATTTTCTTTTGTTTATTCTAAATAATATTCCTTTTGCGTAAACATCATGATTGATTCGTATTAAGGAAATGAATAGACGTTTATTTACATTAAAAAAAAGTTTTTCTAGGATTCCATCCATATTTCCTGGTTTTTTTTCTTGATAAACTCATTCATTAACAAATGATTAAACGAATTACAAATGTCAAATTTTTTTTCTTGCCATTTAATCCTTTATTATATTTTCATCAATGACACTTATATTCTTATTCAAGAATGGAATACAAAAAAATGAACTCAGTTAAAAACAAAATGATAGTTTTTAGAAAATGAATCATTAATTTTCTAGAAAACTTTCCACTTGTCGGTCGAATTACTTTGTGTTTTTTCTCTGTTGAACACAAATGTAATGTCAATAGCTGTCATTTAATCGTAAAAACTTACTAAAAATACTAATTGAATTTCATAAACAATTATCATCTGTCTATTTTAATTTAATGCACGAAACATGACAATAAAAAATTAATAACATTAAAAAAAAAGAAGCAAAGAAAACTTCTCTATATTTTTCATTGATGACAACCAACAGAAACTTTTTATTTTATTTTATTTGCTTCTCTTATTCTAATTGCATTTCTGCGTTCACCGTTAGTGCTCATTTATTTGCCATTTACTTGATAATTGAAAAAAGAAAACGTACGATTTATTTAAATAATTAGATTCCTTGATAAATCAAAAAAACAAAAATGCCATTCGCAATAAAAGATGTTCTTCAACATAAACGTAATGATCGTCAAATACGTGAAATTCATGAAAAAGAATACTTAAAATATTTAACAAATCTTCGTCAACAACAACAACAACAAAATTCATTTTATACAAATCAATATTATTTATCATTAAATCATCTTAATGAAATTGAACGATCATACATACGAAATGAATTCGTTAAACAAAATCAATATAAACGAATACAAAATGAAAATAATTTGTTATATGAACGTTTATTGAAAGCACGAACACGTACAATGATTGATGATAAAAACCAAACATATGAACAAAATTTAAACACATTTATATCTAAACGTTATCAACAACGTTTTAATGGATATAATCGTATTTTTAATGATAATCAAATTTTATTACAACGTATTAATAATGCACGTGGACATTTAATAACTAAAGAAGAATGTGAGAATGATTGGAAAAAACATGTTGAATTTATGAAAAAAACTTGTGATTATCCAGAAAATGTTGATAAATTTATTACAAAAATGAATAAAAATGAACAAAAACAAGCATGTCTTTATTCAATAAAGAGAACTACACAGTGGAATGATCGACATTCTATTATTGAACCACCCAAACGTTTAACAGTTATGCCCTTAGCTATTTTACTTAATGAATCTTAAAATAAAAGGATTATTTGTTGTTTAAACACATTTTCATGTTCATTAATAAAACATATATCTAAAAAGTTCAATTATCTATTTCAATTAAATTGATTTCGATATATTATTCGATTAAGAACGACGGAAATAAATTAAGTTTTTTTCTGACAAAGTATGTCATAGATTTTAAAGCGGATTAAGCTATTTTAACTATTCAACACATTGAGCACGAACGAACAAAAGTCAAGAATATTATATCTAAAGCTTCTTTCAAGAAGAAAATATATTTCGACATAATTAAAAATAATTACTGAGATAATTTCTTTTTTAAATAGAAAACTTACGGGTGTATTTAAGAAAAGCTATAGAATAATCAGATATGTAAAAAATGGATCTCAATAATTTAACCATTTGGTTGGTATAAATTAGCTCGATTAGAAACAAAATATTTATAAGAAAATGGTATTCGTACTTATGAGGAGTCTCTTCAGCTATCTCCTTCCGATTTGAATGAATTTTTTTGCTAATAAACACTATATAATGTTCTAATAGAATCCCTAAAACGATTTGAACTCCTACTGACATTTGACTAAGCTATTGGATATTTTTTGTCTACTGACTCTAGGTTATCGAAAAGTTGTATTTCCTAATTTCAGCCTAAAACTTTGCGCATATAAGAAACTTAACAAGACTAGCTTACATAAAAAAATTCACAAGTTTTGAACAAAGTCTCTTCGAGATATGAGACTTTATAAAAATGCATTCTGTATACACTATCGATAGAAAAGGATCTATATCTCGAACAGACTTTCTTCAAAACTTCTGGATATTTTTATGGAACCTAGTCTACTTGAGTTTTCTAGACACATAAAGTTGTAGGCCAAAATTAGAAAATACAAATTTTTCGACAATCGGGGACCTTTGGAGAATAGACATATTAAAAAATTGGATAGTTTATTCAGACAGGAATTCTTTTAGGGTTTTTATTAGAATATTATATAGTATCTAAGGTGAAAAAATCATTGGAATCGGAAGGAACACGAGAATATATTCTCTTGTTCGTCACCAAAGTCTATTATTGTGAAACATGATCTAAAAGAAGTGTTGAATTATACGGGTGAAAATATAGACACCGATACCCTCAAGACCATGACAGGCGTTGTTTATATATAATCAAATCATCGCTTTCTAATATATAATCTACTTCCTTATTGCATTTCTGGAAGATTAAGTAAAAGGATGGTGAAGGAATGTATCCCAAAATAGATAGAATAAAGCAATCTTCCATCGATTAACAACAGCAGCTACATCGTGCTTCACATTTTAATCTTACGGGGATTGTACTAACAGCTTTTTATTGAATATAGATTCTATCCAATATTGAAATATTAATAAATAATAAGAAAAAAACTATACGTCAGATTATTGGTATATACACCGATACTACTATTTAATTCTGTTATTATTTGATCAAATAATTCCTCATATATATATATATATATATATGTTTAGGCAAAATTAGAGCTCGAATAGAGATAAACTCATACAATCAAAATAATTGAAGTTTGAGTGGAACAACTATTTCTTTTTTTTTTTCAATGACCAATTGACAAGCGAAAACATTTGCATCTATTCATTGATATAGATACAGCTACCTCGTTTTGAATGACATTTTGTCAAACAAAAAAAACTCTTAGTTTTTTTTTTACTGCAAACATTGTTTTGTATCATACCATTGCCTTTACAATTGTGTGTGACCGATTGCTGAATCTGATTCAGACATTTTTTCTATTAGACTTCGCCGCATACCTCCTTATTTATGCTGCTTATGGGCACGACTGGCACGATTACATTTTTCTCTTTTTTTTTATTCCAGTCTATTGATAATAAAGCATGTGATTGCATGCATTTATCTCTAATCGAATTCCAATTTTGTCCAGGCAAAACTGGAATTCCATTTCTGACTGATGAGTACCTAAGCAGTGTCACAATTCTAATTTTGCCTACAAAAAATGTATACCAATAACGTAAATCAGTTTATTGGTTTTACTAAAGCAATATAACCTTTTGAGAAATACACACATAAAGCAATTTGTAAATCAATGTCGATTCTAACTTGAAACAATCATACAAAAACAAAATCAAATCAAATCTTATTACAAATATTAAATAGATGCATACAGATCGAAATTTTAAAAGAAACATATTCGAAATTCAACAATTATAACATTTCAGACTTTCAAACATAAAGAACTAATTTAGACACTAATTTGAGTGTTTGAATCAACTCGTTCTGAATCTTCAGTGGATGTACATCAGTATGATATCATAAAGTTTTGTTCTATTTTTGTCTAAGAGAGATTATCCATAAAAGATATCCGGAGAAAGTCGAAGTCAATCAAAACCAAACAAGTTCGGGCATAGAGGAGTGACAGATACAGCTCATAGGGTTGCTTCCGGATTTGGACCGGATAGTGTTCGAAAATTTTGGATCCAACGGGTTCTAGGAACAGGTCAAGCAGACGCAAACGTCTAAAAAATCTTTCTCTTGTTTTAAGCGTTTTGTAAAACAAAGTTTTAAAATTGGGTGCTCAGCAGGAGAGTAAGCGGGAGCCAAAAAAAACGTTTTTTGTCTGAGAAAATTATATGAAGCAAAGTTTTAACGAACATACTAACCTATCAAATCAATCGGTTGAATTGCATTAGAGATATTTATGTTAACTTTTCCAATGGATTTTTGTGACACCGTGTGGTTGAAAAAATCCGTCTCGATTGTTCTATATAATGGCGCAAAAGATGTACTTTAAGGGGACCCCTCCCCTTTCCGCCACTTTTTGAGAACGGCTCAACGAAATTTTCTGAAACTTTCAGGGTAGATAGACCTCGATGAGTAGAACAAAAGTTGTCGTAGACTCAAGATTCTAAAATGCTTCCTTCAGGGAGATCCTGGGGTCTCAATGGTTAAAAAAGGCCCCCCCTTATCGCCCCCCTTTCTCGACCGCAGTATGTCCGATAGAGCTGAAACTTTTTTTACAGGTACTAGGGACACTTTGGGGTGCCTATTTTGTTTTTTTTCTTTCTATCTCGTTCCG